AGAGAGAGAGAGAGAGAGAGAGAGAGAGAGAGAGAGAGAGAGAGAGAGAGAGAGAGAAGTCGAGGTACTGTGGCTGCATCTACACTAAAAGTCGCCCTATCAAACCGACATGCACTGTAGCGGTACCCTTCCGGCCCGACAGTGAGGCTGGACCTGTTTCAGGCCATCGCCCTGACCCCAGTCCGGTGTCAGGCGGCCGAAGGTCAGTCGGCCACCCGAATTTCTACGAATTGACCCTCGGATTGATTGTTTAAAGAAAGGTTGACCGGGACTTTCATAAGATCCATCGGGGAAAATTAGGGGTCGGAAAGAGACCCCTAAAATTCCCCGCATTGAGTATTGACACTGACCTTTGAAATCAACGAAAGGAACAGGGCATGGTTGCCGCGCCTAGTGCCTATTGTTTTCGTTCGTTCCAAGGCTGATCCCGAAGTGACTAGCCGCGGGACGGGAATGCGGAAATAGGCCTTGGCGCGACACTTTTGCTTCATACGATTGGTGCCGAAATGGCGCCTCAAATTTTATTAATTTTAATATCAAAATTAAAATTGGGAAAAGAGAATTAAAAGGAATAGGAGGGACAAGAATAACGGAATAATTGCAATTTACTTAAATTTTACCGGAATTCAATCTTTGAGGGAATTACCCATTATTTTCATCATTTCCAATAAATTCGATAATGGAATTAAAAATGACAAAAATAATAAAAGATAGTAAAAGAAAAGAAAACCACTGACTTATTATTATTTGATTAAAATTTATTAAAGATTACTCGCGGTGGATTTTTGCCGGGATTATTCATTTACCCCGAGTCTGGCAATTCTTCCGATTCCCTGACGATTGTAAACTCTCGCTTGATTTACTTGATTTATCTGATTGCTATCCTCCACTCAACCTGGGTGTTTTGAGTGAGTGGGACCGTACAGTCGCCGTGGTGTTGCGGTTGGTCCTACTTGGGGACTTTATTATTTTGCTGTGGACACTGGATCGAATTGGGGACGCCACTCTAGTTCGGGGCAGGCTGGGTACTAGAACGGCGCACCTGCGTGGTACGGTATTCGACATCAAGTTGGTTCGGCACTCGTGTGGTGACGCAGGGTTGACATGCAGATACACCATTCTTGCCTCCGCTGTGGTCACTGGTCCGGTATTGATGAGGCTCACGACGGTCTGGCTAATATTTTGGAATGGTATCGGGGCCGGGATGGACTTACCTTGGTATGGTTTGACTCGACGGCAGGCTAGGATGCTGGTTTGGTGTTGGTACAGCCACGGAAATTGTGCAGGTTTGGTACGGCTTGAGCCTGATCTGGGACTGCGACGGCCTTGGTTCAGTCCCTGCTACGTCCGCTGTTGGTGCCGCTGAACTTTCCTGGGTTCCACTGTACTGATACCATCGGAATCCCGGACCGGTGTACCTGGGTGAAAGTACTTTCGGTCCGTTGAGGCCCACGGTCAGGGTTGCAGTCCGCATATAGGAGACGCCAGTGAACGAAGGGGGGACATTGAGCAGATTCAGGGACCAGGGGGAACGGTGCGCATGGGCAAGCGACCGCAGCGCACGGACAGGGTATGACGCGAGCGCAGTGAACATACCTGTTCGCCAGGCGCTGTAGTTCAGTACTGGGCACGGTCACAGTAGCTATGGCGGCCGCTTGTATGAGTGGACGGGCGCTGTGGGTAAGAGGAAGCGTGCTAGTTGAGAGAGAGGGTGCGCTGGGACAGAGGGAACGCCGTGGGCGAACTCCGACCACAAGGAGCGCTCCTGGTGAAACTGATGAACCCCCTGCTCAATCATGGGGTGCTGATGGAGGCACAGCAGTTATGGGGAAGCGGATGTCGCCGGCATGAAAAAGGTGACGACCACCCCTGTATGTGAACTCGCTGCCGCCCCCGGTATCGTCCTGACTGTGTCCGCTGGAAACAGGTTTCAAATGCCACTCAACGCTTGATTAAGGTTTGGAGACTGTTGGACTAACGAGCCAGGGAGTCTGCCCTGTAGCAGCGAAATGAAGAGTGAGAGGGGAAGAGAGAGAGATCGGGAGAGTAAGGGAGAGAAAGAGAGAGGGACTGATCGGGTGCGTGCGAGAGTGACAGCGAGAGGGGAGACATCAAGAGGGCGAAAGGGAGAGAGAGAAATAATTTTAATTTATTTACTTATTTCTATTTATTTTCTAAATGCGTGAAGTTGTTGCTGATTGCGGACAGGTACATTCGAACTGGGGCCAGCAGCCTGGCTTGGAGGGTCGACGCGTGCGCGTGCGCGAGAGAGGGTGAGAGAAAGAGGTAGAGAAAGAGCGAGGGAGAGTGACCCCGTGCATGTGTGTGTGTGTGTGTGTGTGTGTGTGTGTGTGTGTGTGTGTGTGTGTGTGTGTGTATGTGTGTGTGTGTGTGCGTGAGTGAATGAGACAGATTGAGGAAAGAGAGGAGGAAGAAGAGGGAGAAGGAGAGAGCGGAGGTTGCCAAGACTGTGGAAGGTCACGATCCCGATGACGAGGGGTTGAAGGAGCCGGAGTACGAGTCTGTGTACAAGCAAACTGTGACCACATACGATGCATATTTCGGACTCAGCGAAAAGAACCCGTCTTCGCTTTGCTGCGAAGACTTGCTGCTCAAGGTGAAGCTTCCCGCGACCTCCAGTTTATCGGAGCTGAAGCTGGATGTCGAACCCACCTATGTAAAGCTGAAATCACCCATTTACAGACTGACAATCTATTTATCCTACAAAGTCGAAAGCGATACAGGATCAGCAAAGCGGAACGCACCCACTTCCACGCTATACATCACCAGGCCGTACAGAAGACCCGAGCCCGGGGAAGAAGGTGACGATGAAAGCGGGACGAG